ATTGGTACGGGGCATGAAGTTGGTGGCCTATATTACTTTGATTTTGATTCATCTACTCGGGCTCTACAAACCTCGTCTCCTTTTCAATGACATTGTCATCTTGAACATCTCTCTCTCCAGCATTTGAAGTTTCTAATCTTAGTTATATGTCATCTTTGTCTTGTGAAGCTTGTCAATTTAGTAAGTATCACCGTGTGTCCTTTCAGTCTAGAGTCAATAATCGTGTGTCTAGTCCATTTGAGTTGGTACATTTTGATGTATGGAGTCCAATAAAGAATATTTCATCTAATAAATATCTTTATTTTGTATCATTTGTGGATGATTATTCTCGTGTGACCTAGTTGTTTTTTATGAAAGCTCGTTCTGAATTATTCTTTATATTTGAGACTTTCACAAAGAAATAAAAACTCAATATGGTTGTCGTATACATATTTTATGTTCTGATAATACTCGGGAGTATAAATCTAATTCTTTTGCAGGTTATCTTAGTAAGACTGACATTATTCATCAGACTTCCAGTGCTTAAACCTCTCCACAGAATGGTGTTGCTGAACGCAAGAACCGTCATTTGTTGGAAGTCACCCGTGCCCTGTTATTTCAGATGAATATTCTCCAATAATTTTGGAGTGATGTTTTTACTCCTTGTCATCTTATTAATTTTATGTCATCCTCTGTGTTAAATAGGTAAAGTTCATATTCTGTCATTTCTCCTGGTAAACCCTTATTTTTTTTTAACTCTTAAGGTTTTTGAATGTGTCTGTTATGTTTACAATATGAGTCATGAGTTTGATAAACTTGACCTTTGAGCTACCAAATGTGTATTTCTTAGATATTCCCGTCGGGTATCGTTGTTATAGTCCTTCTCTGCAACGATACTTTAATAGTGTTAATGTCACGTATAAGGAATCTGTTCCTTATTTCTCGGCACTTGCTCAGCCTTAGATCTGGACTTTGGGTCGTCTCTTGTACAACCATCTCTTCCCTCATCTTCAGATATTCCGTTGCCTACTATGTTATCATTTACTTTACCTCTTTGTGTATACTCTCGTTGTCCTTACCCATCGACTGAGGTGCCCGTATCGTCTTCCTTGCTGTCTTCTGATCCTGGTACATCAGGTAATTTAGACTCTTTATCTATTGCTCTTCGAAAAGGTACTCGTTCATGTGTTATTAATCATCTCATTGCTCATTTTGTTTTATATGATGCTCTGTCTATTGTCTTATCTTATTTTACCTCTCAATTATCTACTATATCTATTTCTAAGCACGTACAAGATGCTTTATCTAATCCGGGTTAGAGGAAAGTTATAGAGGAGGAGATGAATGCCTTGCATCATAATGGGACTTGGGATCTCGTTCCTTTATCTCCTGGTAAACAAACTTTTGGCTGTCGTTGGGTGTATACTGTTAAATTTCATTCGGATGGTTCTGTGGAGCATCTCAAAGCTTGGCTTGTTGTAAAAGGCTTTACTCAGATCTATGGTGTTTGATTATGAGGAGACCTTTTGTCCTATTGTCAAAATTTAATCTGTTGCCTGCTAATCTTGATCGACCCTTGTTTCAGTTAGATGTCAAGAATGCCTTCCTACATGGAGACTTGGTTGAAGAGGTATACATGGAGTAACTACTTGGGTTTACTGCTTAGGGGAGCACGGTAAGAGTGTATGTTGATTAAAGAAATCGTTGTATAGTTTGAAGCAGTCACCGAGGGTATGGTTTGATAAGTTTTCAGATGCAGTTTTAGAGTTTGGTCTTCTTCGTTGTCAGACAGATCATTCTGTGTTTCATAGACAGACGGATGCTGAATATGTTTTATTGGTGGGCTATGTAGATGATATTGTGATTACTGAAAATGATTCTAAGGAGATTGTCAAGTTAAAAATCTTCTTGCAAGATCGATTTCATACTAAGGATTTGAAAAAACTCAGGTATTTCTTGGGTATTGAGGTGGCTCGATCTAAACAAGATATTTGTTTATCCAGAGGAAATATGTGTTCGAGGTGCTAGAGGAAACAGGTTTGTTGGGTGGCAGACCGATTGATGTTCCTATGGATCCAAATCATAAACTGTTGATGGATGATAGTGCACTGTTTGAAAATCTGGGTCGGTATCGCAGATTGGTTGGGAAGTTCAATTATCTCACTATTATTTGACTGAATATTTTTTATGCAGTCAGTGTAGTAAGACAGTTTATGAGTATCCTAGAGTACCATATTGGGAGGTAGTTATTCGTATTTTGTGATATCTTAAATGTGCTCTTGATATTGGACTGTTATATCGAGCTAATAGACATCTCAGGGTGAAAAGGTTTCTCAGATGTTGATTGGGTTGACTCTCTTTTTGATCAGAGATCAACCATTGGTTATTGTACTTTCTTAGGAGGTAACGTCTCATAGAAAAGTAAGAAACAATTTGTTGTAGCAAGATTTAGTGCTGAGGCTGAGTATAGGGCAATGACGCATACGACAAGTGAATTGATTTGGCTATTACACTTCCTCCCAGAAATTGGATTTCTGATTCAACCTTCTTCACAGTTGTTCTGTGACAACCAGACAACTATCCATATCGCTGTCAATCCAGTGTTTTACGAGAGAATTAAACATATTGAGTTTTATTGTCACTTTATTTGAGACAAGATAGTAGCTGGAGAGATTACGACTCTGTTTATGAAATTTGAAGATCAGCTTGCAGATATATTTACCAGAGCATTAAGTCGTACACGTTTTACAATAATTTGTTCCAAGCTTAGTATGTGTAAATTGTTAAGAGTATTAGGGTAATATATGTAAATATAAGAGGGTATATTTGTTTTTTTTTTATTGTAAGTTAACTATAAATACAAGTGATATATGAGAGGTAGGGTTAAGTTTTGACCTCTCTCTGTTTCTCTCTAATATTGTCTCTAATATTTATGTTAATCCTCTCAACTTAATAACTTGTATTTATAGTCATCTCATAAATATGCAAGGGACAAATATACCATCTAGTTGACATACTTATTATATAAAACAATACTCTCAACAGAAAGAAATACTAGAATTTTTAAAGATAAAGAAGAAGTGAAGGAAGGGATGTGGGATTGAATTTATTTTTTTGCATCTTTTTGGACCATCGTTACCAAGGAGTTTGAAAGTATCCCTTTTTTTTGATATTATCTCAAGTTGGATGACATCTTGTGGGAGATAATTTTCTTTTGATTACTCTTTTGTTTTTGTTTTGTGCACTTTTTTGGTATGCATGAGGGTTGGACTATTTGTTCATCCTTGCTTGCACTTTTTTTTTGGTTCTTATCAATGAAATGTTTGCTTCTTATCCAAAAAAAAAAAATGACAATCGGAGGGCAAAAAGGGAAAACAAAACAGAAGAGGAAGAAGCTCTTGACCATACTAGGAAAATGAAGCCACTGCCACCTTTTCCTTGTCATCTTTTTCTTTTTCGCAACTCAAGGGGTCACACATTCGGTACCTTCACAAATCCAAATGGCCTACAATAGCTTGTCTGCCGCATCTCGAATCGTTTACTCCTCTTTGTGTGTGTGCATGTATGTGTATATGTGTCACTGTGAAGGGAATTGAATAGTCTGGAAGACTGGAATCCTCAGCTTCTAAAAGGTGTCTCTTTGGGTTTTTTTGGACATTTTTATCTTTTAGTTACAATCGATAATCTCTCTTTAGGCGTTAATGTTATAATAGTTGGTGTATCGTATTGTAAATTTTCTATTGTTGTTATATTGGGTGCATTAACTAATCTTGCAGTAAGTTGGTAGATTTCATCAATAAATTAAATAATCTATACCAAAATACCTATACAATACCGTGTGATAATCCCACACACCAACCTATTATTTCATCCCAGGAAGCAAAAGTGAATTTTCTGATTGGCCACAATGGACATTCCATTGCTTCTCCCACCAACCATAACATTTTGGGCCCAATGACGTGACTCATACACTATTTGCAATATATGTTAAAACTACATATTTAAATTTAAAGTAGAAATTTATTATTTCATGAATTTTTGAACGAGTGTTTTCTATTTGATGATTTTGAATTGTTAAATAGCATGGTTTACAAAAAAAAGTCTCATAAAAATTAATTTTTGCAATTGATATTGTAATAAATGCTTACATTGAACAATGATGATGATAAATATTTCTTGTAGCACCCCTATATTTTATTTTTACTATATTAACTTATTAAGCGTGTCAGGTTATGTATTTCTGACTGATGCATGTATTTCTGTTGTTATTTATATTTTTCAAAAATTATGATGATCGTTCTAAAATTCTTTGGGCACATTTTGTGTGTATCGCCACGATCGATATGCCACACCGCCTTTGAGTTGATGACCGATATCACGATCTTGAACCACATATTCTAGATGCCAAAGTGGTGTGGTGCGGCAGGTCGTCATTTGTCATATTACCGAAATGTTGAGTATTGTTTATTTGGCCCTTGTGTGGGAATGGATGTTTGATCATATTTTTGCAGTGTTTCAGTTATCAAACTATAATGCTGTCAGATTTGTCTAGTTTTGCTTATTAGGCTTTCAGCTCACCCTCCATTTTCCCCTCAAGTGCAGGGTAATTTCTAATGAACGGCAGTTGTGGGACCAAAACACGGAAGGAACAGTGATTTTGGGATTATTTATATCCTTCTTGTAAACTCATGATATTTGGAATTCTAATTAATTATTGGGAGGTTTTAATGTATTTAGTTTTTGGAGATATTAGAGCTCTAAGTTGTACAAATAGATTATCATAATATTAAACAACTTTCCAAGAAACTGGGCAGTTACACCCCTGTTATCTTTGCATTGTTGCTAACCTGTAGTTGACCAGTAATCTTTTAATATCCCGACTTGTTGATTTAAGCAGGGAGATAAACAAAGCGTTTTGTGGTTTTTCTGATCAATGTAAACATCAGCAGTATCAGAGGCCGTTCCACGTCAAATGTTTTTTGAAAGCTGAGCTTGATCAAGATTTCACAGAACCCATTTGCATGTCCACAGATAATCTTCTGGTTAGTATTTACATTCGAGCTTCTCTCTTCCTCACTGTTTTTTTTCTTTTCTTCTTTTCTTTTTTTTCATTTTTACTTGAATTAGAAAACATGTACATGTCTTGGTGAGTTGAATGTGAGAAGTGTGGTTGTTGGCATTCTTTTTTTCTTCAATTTCAGGGTTTTGTTTTTTATAATCTGGGTGTAAACTATGTCATCATGCAATGTCGAACTGGCTTCTTTTTTTATTTTAATCAACTATTCTTATTACTGATTTAGTGCCTGTTTTTTAGATTGATGATGCTACATCAACTTCTGCTGAGACAGATGAAAGAATTGCAGGTGGCCAGCTAACCTCGAACTTTGAGGAAAAGGGTAATCGGTATCTGGAACATGAAGATGAAATTGGGGTTGTGACAGGGAATTGGGGTTGTGGTGCTTTTGGTGGAGACCCTGAACTTAAGGCCACAATTCAGTGGCTTGCTGCTTCGCAGGTGATTACCTCTGCCTATCCATTTCTTTGCTCGTCAGTTTTCTGTGCTACACACTGGTAGTTTAAAAAATCAATTTCTATTTGATTACGTGTATAATAACAGATTTTTTTTTCCATCCTGGCCATGTTTTATGCTCTTTTCTTCTTGATAAAACATTGATATATTTATTTGTAATCATTGTACATTCTTGAATGGGTTTGGTTTGCCATCGTTTTAGAATCATTGCAGTTTGGGAGGCATTGTTATGCCAAATTATGGCTTTGCCATATGAAAATTAACACTCCTAAATATTCAAATCATCTTGAGGTTTTGATAAGCATACTCAAATAATTGGAGGCTGAAGTCCAACTTGATGCTAATTATGATCAGTCTGATGCTTTAAGGAGGTAAAATCTATTGCAATCTTGTGAATCTTTAAGATTGTAGGAATGGACCGAGTAATCAACAACTCTAAGGTCATTGGTCCAATATTTGTGTTGATTTGAGTTTGGTTGTTTATCAATTTCAGTGAGCAGGAGGAGAAGATTATGAGACGAGTGATGGTCTTGGTTTAGAAATGTTGGATTTATCACTAAGCTGAATCATTGTGGAACTATTTAAGAAGCTTAGCATAGATACTACAAACTGATACACTCACTCCATGATGCGCCCTTCATGTTATGCTATTGTTGGATCAAACTACTTATAGTATGCCAGAAACCCTTTCGAGGAGTGTAGTCAATGACTGTAAAATCCTTTGTCACAACATTTAATGGATTCTTAGTTTGTTCTTCTCCTGTCCTGTCTAAACATTAATTTCCTGTTATTATGTACATCTTTTCCAGGCATCAAGACCTTTCATATCGTATTACACTTTTGGCATGGAGGCATTGCGGACACTGGACCAGGTAATTTTTTTGGCATGCTTATAATGAAAACTGCTTAAAGAGTGATATACTGCATATCTACAGATTATTGTCAAACTGGGTATAAGGGCTACATTTTTCTGCATAGTTTGCTTGCAGTAGCTTCCCTGCATTAGTCTTTAGGTTGTTGGTCCTGGCATTTTAATCATCCCCTTAGGGACTGGCCCATTTGGGAGATAATGACATATTGATGTTAATTGTTGTAGCACCTCTGTAAAATATAAATATTCCTTAAGGTGCTTTTCTATGTTATGCTGGAATATGAGGATGTTTAGGTATATATGCAAACGTAAGAATGTTTCAGTTTATATGCGAATAATGTGTGTACTTTCTCCACATATGGCATAATCACAAGAGTCATATTCACTGATTCCCACCTACTTAGTAAGTTTTGTGTATTTTCTTCTTGTCTTGTGTCTTTGCAACTTTCTTATACCGAGTTTTTTCAACTTAAGGATTAGATTGGATTTATGACTAGCACCAATTGTATATACAATATCAGCCACTGAAATCACCTTTTTGTGTTGCTCCATCTTTAAGTTCAATGCTAATGGTTGAAGGAAATGACAAAAATCCTTGAAGCTTAATCTTTAGGAAATCTTGAGACCACCAAAGGCATGTAGTTCAGGCATCCACTTTGTGCCTTGTTGGGTAAATATCTAGATAGCCCCATTTAATAGATTTCTAGTCATTTTGAACCTGGGACCATCATGTGTTCAGGGGTGTATCAGTATGATGATATTTCTCTCAGATGGCTGAATTGTGTTTTCTCCTTTTACCCCTCTTCTCTGTCACAGGTAACACAGTGGATCACTTCCAATGGATGGACTGTTGGAGACCTTTGGAATATGTTGGTGGAGTACTCGTCTCAGAGATTGAATGGAGAAACTGAAGTGGGCTTCTTCAGTTGGCTCCTTCCATCATTACTGACCCATGACGAAATGATATTGAAAAGTTGATTAAAAATTATGTACTATTGGTTTGCCTGCTTGTAGCTATCCAGATTTGGTTAGAAGAAATAAACCAGAAAGTTTTGGCACTTGCTTGTTGTTTGCATGGGGAGCTTTCGTAAGAATAGGCTTCAATGCAGGGATTTGCTATGTCAAACTCTTGTAAATGGATACGTTACTCTTAAATTATGCAAATTAGCTGCGGATTGATGACTGCGTGTTTTTCACATAGTGATACAACTTAAGGATACAGTGGTTGAAGCTGCTAAATATCTTAAAAGGGCACTGTCATGGGACATGCTTAATCTGGGACTGTTATGTGCAAAAAAGTAGATGGTTTATGTTTATTTAATTTCTATTTCTTTTGATTTGTATGCAGCCAATCCAAGTGGATTGTCATTGGGAATGGGAAATACCATGTCTTAGTTGGTAATGCGTAATCCCATATTTTATGGGATGAGTTATTCCTTTGGAATGGGAATGAATTTTGAACAAACCAAATAAAGGAATGCTTATTATCAAGTAACATTCATTTAATGCTCTTGGTCTAATACCATATATCAAACACAGTGTAACTAGTTGATAATGCATCTAACCTGCATTAAGTTGCCGGCAGCACCCACCCGGAAAATGCAAGCACTTTCTTTAGTAGAAATTGCACAAAGACTTAAATAATCATGAAAAAGCCCAGCCCAATTCTATGAATACTTAAGAGTGGAATTTTTTTTGTGTTTTTTAGAAGTAGGTACATTTTTTATAATTTATTTGATTTTAAGTATAAATTCAAAAAATATTTGGCAAAAAGTACACTTTGGAGGAGAATGACTGAAGTATTCTTAACATCATCATCACATCACTAATGAAAAAACCAGGTAAGGAAATCAATTAAATTGAAAATTAAAAGTCTTAAATTTTAGTGTTTTTTTTATACTAAAACTCTTTCTTTTTCTCTCTTCATATTTCATTCATCTACACACACACACACGCACACGCACACGCACACGCACACGCATACACATATGTGACTAAATTAAAAGCTTAAATAAATTTTAAATTTGAAAATTTGTATATTTTTTCAATTCTATCTAAAATTCTAAAATTTTAAGATTTTCATATATTAGAAATATTTTGTTCTTTCTATCACATGCACACACATATATATAGTTGTGACCAAAATAAAACTAACACAAAATCAAAATTCCTTAATTGTAAATACTTTTTAAGATAAGGATTATCTCTCTCTCTCTCTCTGTGTGTATATATATATATATATATATATATATATAAAGTAGAGCGAAGTTTGAATCCAAAAGATAAAGAGAGGTTAAGATCATTTTGAGACAAAATATAGACACATCCAACGGACAACGTAATCCTAATATAAAAGACGGTTCAGATTATCTCAAAATTTTTTATCTAACGGTCTACAGTTAATCCTGAATTAGTTTTTCCGCCCATGAAGAAGTCTCTCATCCTAAGACCCTACACTCATATCTCTTATACATCTCTATCTTTCTCATATAGACTCTCTCTCACGCCTCTCTTCCTGCCCAACTCAAGCCTCTCTCTCCCAATCTCTCACCCCTCTATCCCTGCCTTCCAAACTCATCCCCAAAATTTCTCACATGGAATCCATCTCCAGTCTTATCCCAATCTCAAATCTCACTCATTCACTAACGCACTCCACCAGCAAAGTTGTAGCCCAGCCAACGCTTTGGATGGCTACAGTAGAGACAGAAGCAGACGAAAGGCATATAGAGAGAAGGAGAGGAGAAAGACAGACAGAGAAGATCCTCTGTTTCAGGTAAGCTTTGGATATTCACATTTTTGTGTGTGTAAGCATTATGCTTGCATTTTTTCGTTTGAGATCGGAGTTTTTGTTGAATGGGATATTTTGTTATCCACCACGCGAGGACACAGAACACACGCATTAATTTTATTTCGATCCTTCATTCAAGGTTCCGTTGACAATAGAATCTGTTGCTATCTCACCTTCGTCTGCTAATCTCAACTAGGTATGTTTAAGTTTTATTGCTTTCATACATATTTTTTTTTTGTCAAATTCACTTGTCAAATGTTTGAGTTTAATTTCGTATGTCTCTACAGTGGTATTCATGGTGGGTTCTGTATTTTATTTACTGTTTGTCATGTGAATATATAACCAGACAATTTAAGTACCTCTATGTGTTTAATTCGGTACTCTATGATGGTGTTCATTGTGTGTTGTAGAACTTGATGGGTTGTAGCTTTTTTGTTCAATTTAAAAGCATTCCTTTCTGTCGCCCAAACATCTCAGCCACTGCCCAAACCACCAACCACCACGTGTTTGACAAAATTTCTCAAACAAAATAACTCACCATCTCCCAATGTACTCTTAAGAAAGTCCAATGCTACAGCCAAGAGAGATTTAGATGGTAAGATTTCATTCCACTTTCTTAGCTTGCTTCATTTTTGTTTTTGATTTTTTTAGACCTACAAAGAAAATGACAGCTTCTTGAGCAATAATTTATTCTTATTGTTATTTTTTCGTCAATTGTAACCTATTGATACAAGGAGGCCATTGGTATTGACAAATTTGCTTCATGCTCCAAAGCAAAAGGTTAACTAACGAAGTCCAATTTTAAAAATGGATTTTGCTTTATCATGGGAGCTTTTAGCATGACAGTGCCTATTTCGTTATTGCTTTTGTGTTGGATACACTGTCATGGAATAGTCATTGTCCACAGTGTTTTGAATGAAGTGTATGTCAAGAATATGAGATGTGCAAACTTCATTGTGAAAAAGCCTATGGTAATTGGGCATGAGTGTGCTGGGATCATAGAAGAAGTAGGCAGTGAGGTGAAATCTAATGCATACTAGGTGATTGACAGAACGCCAAAGAGAAGAAACAATTTTACCCACTTATTTTTTTGTAAAGGATCTATGTTTGTTCTCTTGGTCTGTATTGTTTTTTTCTCTCTTTAATATCCAGTTTCCAAATTTCATGCATTTCGTTATTGCTTTTGTGTTGGGCACACTGTCATGGAAGAGTCATTCTCCACTCAAAATTTTCCCTTTTGATCAACATTTTCTAATCAAATGAGTTCCAATTTTTATGATTTAGTTAGAATTAGAGTTTCAATTGACTCCTATGAACTCTTCAATCTGTTTGGTCAATTGGGTTTTAATCATGCGATTGTCCAAATGCCTCATGTTTTTTATTCATTATAGGTATACACTAAAGTAGTACTGGTTTAGTAAGTGATTTATTGCATGGTGGAATAGAATGAAGACCTCAACCAAATGTTATTTGATGGATTTATTATAATGGCAATGGAGAACCATAGAAGTTTGAGAGAAAATTTCACCTATTAGTTTAAGATTGAGAATTTCACATGGGCCTAGATTATTTGCAACTTTGTTTTCGTTCAATTAAACATGTTTCTTGGGTGTACCTCAAACAAAATATGAGTATTAATTTTGTTTATTGTACTATCTTAATTTTTTTAGTGGCAAGTGGTCATAAGTCTATTTTATTACTATGGAAGTTTTGAACATAAGCATATTTGGGCTTAAAATATGTTGGTTTATTATAAGATATGCTAACTAGTCTTTGCTTTCTTGGGTGAATCTATGTTTGCTTGCTAGCAAATAACATATACCATTTGCATACACATGGGAATTTGCTGATGTTTATACTCTCTTTTTGTTAGCAGATATTAGAATATTTAATTCCTATGGCAAATGGTTGACAATGCAATATTGAATCACTCACAATTTCTTGAAGCTGAAAACTTTGGCTTAATAGTAGAATGGAGTCAAATTGAAGGCTTCTAATGTAGTGTTCATTTTGTTTTCTTTCAACTCTCTTTGTCTCTCACCACCAAGGTGTTCTAATTTTTCTAATTTTACATGTTAAAACATTTATAGATTCAATTAGATTTTTCTATAGTGTTTTTATTTGTGCTTTATATTATATATATAGATTTCCTCTTTAAAGACAAAAATTGAGTTATGAGGATGTTTGATCTTAACATTTTGACTTGCTTGGCATACAACAGCTAATGGTGATGGTTTCATTGCACGGGACATATCATTTGAGAACTGGGCTGGACCAAGCAAGCACCAAGTAGTAATAACTCAGTACATGTTTGCCTTCATAATAACTCAGTACATGTTTTTAATTGCTTTATATTCTTTTTAAAATTTAGTTGCTATACATTTTTTTCTTAGTTCGGTGAACTTGGGATGTTACTAATTTGTATGCAATCATGTGCATATTTAGAAACTAGATTTTTGATTTTTTTTTTGTTGTAAACTTAATTATGTAGATATGTTGAATAGATAATTTTGGTTGTGTGTTTGAGATACATATTGATTTCTGGTTTTGCCCTTGAGTGAATACTACAGTTGTTGATTCAATTTTCTCTGATATATTGATGCAGATACTGTTTCATACATGACATTGGGCTAATTACGATTCTTGACTCGGGATTTCGTTTGCGAAGTCAACCAATTCTCTCTCTCGCTGCTACTCTATTTGTTGAACAATATTTCAGATTTGTTTAATAGTCTAATAATCCAGGTTTGTTTAATATTCATGATTTTTACTATTGTTTCATCTACTATCACTAAAGATTTGTTTATGTTATTGATTGGATTATTATCAAATTTATCTACTATCACTAAAATTTGTTTTAATAGTTCAATGTCCAATGTCAATGCTTTTTCTATATGTGGACATAATAAATTAGGAGTATATTTGCTCATTTATATTATCTTGATGTATTTGTATATGTGTTGTTGCTTTAAAAAATTTTTTGTTCATTTTTTATAAGTAACGTGTCTTCAGGCACGAACAATTACTAGTATATATATTTTGTGACAAAAATTGTGACACGTATACTGTGAAATATTTTTGTCACAGTTCCAGTCACTATTTTCGGTCACATTTTTTATTGTATCATTGCTATTTGTTAACATTATTTTGTCAATTGTTAAATTAAAATGTAACTTACATATTTGAACAT